AAAGTTAGGCCTCCGGTTTTAGTTTACTTACTTACTTACTGCGTTGGCGCAGCGACCCAAAGTGGGTCTTGGCCTCCGACACGAGAGAACGACGTGGTCTGTCCTGCATCGTCGCCTGCCAGCCTATCAACTCTAACTCGCGCTGACCCTTCCTATCAGTTTTTTGTTTCTAAAATAGACACTACTTTTGGCCTTCAATCTGCATCATGCTATAAACGAGTAATGTATTTTTGTCATTGTGGTTCCAATAATTTGTTTTATTTATTATTTTTGTATATTCTAATATAGTTTAGGGCTGTACAAATGTTTTGTAGTATAATAAAATTGTATTGTACAATAAAATTGTATTGTACAATAAAACACATTAACAAGTAGGAATATGTCTTTAACAACCACAGTTAAACATAAGTCTAAATAAATCTTAGGAAGTAATATAAATGCGAAAGTTGAAATGGATGGATGGACATTTGTTGGAGTTTGTAGCCTGAACGGCTAAATGGATATCTGTCTTGAAGAATACGTAGGATACTCACTTTTGTTTGTTTTTTAATTCCACCCGGACGGAGTCGCGGGCGAAAGCTAGTTGTCAATAAATATCGAACATATCTCTTAAGGACTCTTAAAGTTCCGTTGTATTTCGCTTTTGTTGTATTTCCCTTATGTCGGAATAAAAAAAGGGTTTACAGCTTGTATTAAAATATTCATCATTTCACTTTTTTTTTTAAATCCTTTTGAAGCCGTATGAAACCATTATTCTCACCGGCTAGGTTCTTTGAAAACCTGCACAATGCATTGTCGGTTGGATTGCGTCGCTTAAATTACACTAGCTGTCGGAAGCCTGTTTTCGTTTTAAATTATTGTTGCAATGTGTTTAGTGTTTTCACTGCTTTTAAAGTTCAAACTTTAATCTTGAACAACTAACAACTGCAATCGAAAAGATTGTCGTAACAGAAATAAACTTACTATAGAGCTATTTCTATAGAGCAAATGTTGAGTTAGAAGCAACCAACGTAGAGGTAACTTAGATTTTTTATTATAAATGTTCGCTTCGTAAAATATAGTTAAAACATCATTAAAAACCTCAAAGTATGGTGTTAAGTTTAATTGCCTTGTTTTAACCATAATTGGCTAAAGGTCGATAACATCCAAGCTTTTGTAACATAGCCTACCTCATTCAGTATCGGCGAGCACGCGATCGCACCGAACTGAATGATGCCTACACTTGCCTTAGAGCTCGTCACGTAACTAGTAATTATAAATTAATCAAATCGAGTACTAGCAGACTTTGTACCGGATGTTAATATACCTAAAAAACAATTAATTCTAGTCATATCCCATTTTTATATGAAAAATCGAAATAAGTCTCCGATTCTAGATTTACGATTAAAGGTAAGTTGGGTATAATCGTCATATTTTAGACCAAAGAATCTATGGTATTTAGTTGTCCACGTCTTTTTCGGACATCCTGTATAACATCCTGTATATTAAACTAACTCATTTCAATACAATTTAGAAAAAAAGTTTAGAAAATCTTTGACAGACATCGCCTAGTAATTATACCCAGTAAATATTATGTACATTTTTAGATATAATTTATTCGTTCATTTTTAGGCAAAGTCACAAAATTGAATTAACTTTAGCTGTTAACTTGGCGCAAAGGTTAGATTTTTCATGTCCGCGTGGAAGCGAGATGGTCAAATACGTTGTACTTTAGAAGGAAAGAGCTGCATTGCTAGGATGTTAATTGGGTGCTAAGGTAAATATTTAAAAAGGCGCTCGGAGACGCGGGTTTTCACTTTTCAATGACTTTAATTAACAAAGATTCCGGAAAATGGATTTTGATATACGGAAAACAGAAGTTTAAAGTGAAAAAATGAATATAAGAAGTTAGTTAAATAAGTATGGAATAAGTTAAAGTAACTTAGATTGTACTTCAAAAGTTATTTGTTAATCTGTGCTATTTATCATTACATTTATCTTTTTTTAAAACAACAATATTGTTAGGAAAATAAAGGAATAATGGGGGGTAGTTTTATAAAATATACTGCAAGGAGTGACTCGGGCGCTCAATTGCAGTCTCGGCGCTCAGTCGCCAACAAGCTCAGTGTTTTACTAATAATAATAATAATAATAATAACTCATTTAGTTTTTTTCATTCTCATTTACTAGTCATCACAACGGAACGTTTGATATATTTGCATTGTCCCATTGGAGTTCAGTTTGTGTATTTTAAAGTAATTCACAAGTATTGTTAATATGGCCGTCCGTCTATATTTTGAAGGAAGTCATTTGTGGAAAAATCTAACGTAAGTTAAATCTAGAGTTTGCACACGTTTAAAAAAAATTCAGACGAATTGAGTACCCCTTTTTTTTCTCTTTATTTTAAAAGGTACTTTGGTTCGTTGGGTCATGTCAGTCTCCTAAAACCTCATATAAAGGACCTAAACCATAACCTCCTTTTAAGAAGTCAGTCACCATATTAATATGTTTCTTTCTATGTTATAGAAGTTACGCTATTATCAATATCAAAAACGTTTTGTGTTTAATTAAAATAAACTAAATTAAGGGTAATTTTCACTGAGCAATGATTGTAATAATTTAAAGTCTTGTAACAAAAAGGGGTTATAATAAAATGTATTCACAAAGAAATTATTAATGGCAAACGATGGATCATTAGTACAAGTTATTACAGTGCCCATTGTGAACTGAAATATTATTTGGTTGACGTGACGTAATTTTCTTGATTACTTCCCTGATTACGCCAGTTTCAGTGTCCATTATTGTTATCAAATTGTTGCAATTAGTGGCGATAATATTTTTTGATAAGTCATAAAATGATGCATTATATTGTTCCATTAAAATTTTTGTAATCATAATTTTAACTTAATATCCAAGTAAAGTTCAAAAAGATCTAAATGATTAGACCTATATATTATTTTATGTCAGAATTATATAGGTATTTATTGCATCTAGCAAATATATGTTTTCTAAATTATTACAATCTTGTAAAGACCACATAAGCTCTGTTGTAAATGACATTTTTAATTGAACAGTAGAACTCCTCAGTTAAAACTGTGACAATGCAAAACTTTATTAAAAAGACCAACTGTAAGTTAAAATGTTACCTACTCACGCAGTTTTAACTGAACAAATCAACTCATCAGAAAGAACTGAACGTTTGTTGGGGTCATAAGATAATGGGATCAAATATTAACGTTCCCCGAACTATTGTCTTAGAAGTGAAGGAATTTGATTTATAAATACCGCATAGTGAATTGTGTTCAAACGGACAATAAATCAAGAAAATTGAGCCGTTATTCCGGTCTCATAAATCATAGGTCGCACAAATCAAACTACCTTATGAAAAGAGGTTTCAATATGAAATTGTAAAATTATATAAATGTAGCAAGTGTTAATATTTTAACTTTATTATATTTCAATGATTTATTTGATCCTTTTTTGTACAGGTTCTTCGAAGCATATGTAGTCATGGAGACAAGCAATGGACCGGAGTAAAAGTGCAATGAAGGTTTGTGTTTTCAATTATATTCTTATCTTCTTATTGCCTCATTTAGTTCCTGTCTAAAGATAATTGTTGTTCTCATGTTTAATGGAAAATTTAAGTAACCCTAAGGAATATCAAGGATAGTAAGTTGTTATTTAAATTATAAAAGATAGTGAAAAAATAAAAAAAAAATTCAAATTTAAGTATTAAATGTATCATTTCATGGAGACGAAATAAAAATTATTTTAAGTGGTCTCTGTGTAATTTTGTTTCTCTAACAGATGAGAGTAGAAAGAAATTTGATTATTCTCGTCCACTTTTAGTTAAGGACTTAAAAGAAACGTCTTGAATGTGAAAATTCTTTTAATTTACTGAATTTTGAAGTTTGGAATGAAAACTATATTTTTGTATTTAGCGGAATATTTACTTATTGCCATTTAGTTACTCATTTGTAAGGATTTTTTGTGTGACAAAAACATTAGCAATTTTTTTAGATATTTGTAAACTAAATTGAAATTATTTCAAAATTATAACAACGTAAGGTTCACTTCTAAGAAAACAATTTTCCTCATTGAAAAATAAATAAAGAAAATTAGTTATAATGTAACGTTTCCGTCTTGGAATTGCTTGGGACATTCGACTGCAATTTTAGTATAAGCCTTTCTTACTCTTGGCAATATTCAGAACTAAGTATGCCAACTCTATACTTGGATTACTTGAAACATATTGTACAGAGTAAAATAAACTGCACGGATATTATGAGAAACACACAATAGATTTTTAACAATGCTATGCGAGCATTGAATACAATTGCCCATTAATTATATCTAGTTCATCCTTTGCACTGTACTTACAATTGACTTATGTTTTGATTATTAGAAAAATTCTTACATAAACATAATTTAATAATAAAATAAAATAAATAATAAAACACCATTTATTGACCAAAAGAAAATTAAAAGAACACAACTTACAATTATTAATTAAATAAAAATAAATATACAAATTCTTGGTCAAAAGGAAAAGGCTCAGCTGATGCGGCCTCCAGCTTGTCACTGAAGACCGCGCTGGTTTTCAGCCTCCCCTAAACTACTATAACATGGTTCAGTTTATGATACAGGGGGCAATTTTACCGGTATCTATACCAATATTAAGTAAAAAGATTTGTATTTATGTATGTATTAAAATAAATAAACAACTACGGGGCCGATTTAAAATCTTTCACCATTGAAAAGCTACGTCATGAGTGAGTAACATAGGCTATGTTTTCTATTATTTTTTTATTTCACGTGAAAGAAGTCTCGAGCAACAGCTAGTCTTACATAAACTAATCTATTCAATAAGTTGTATTAGCTATTTTGAAAGCGCCCCTTTGCGGGAATAAACAAATTATAAATAGTCTATTGTTCCAGTGTGTCAAATTTAGTCGAAATCCGTTTAGCAGTTTGAGAGAAACATAGCAACAAACATCCGTCTAATCATATAAACTTTCGCATATATAATAATAGTATTAAGTATGATAAATATGAGATAATTTTACGTTCCAAAAGTTTAATTAGAAGTTTATTTTAATTTATCTTTGCATTAAAATTGCCAACATTTCCTTTATAACGTTAATACACAATACTATTTAGCATTCTAATATGATACCACTTTCTCTGGCGCGTTATACCATCGCCAAGGGTCATGAATATCTAGTAATTATCCTCATAAAGCTTGTTGCAGAGATTATACGCTTTCCGCAAATGGTTGCACTGTTTGTTATGAATTTCCCTGTTGTACTATTATTCTGAAATAATCTCGAAACCGACGAAATTTTAGAACTTTAATTGGAACGAACCCGGATTCGGTGAATGCTGGAACTAGCTCGCCTCGCTATATCAAACTAAAGTGTTGCTATTGGTTTGGTAATTAAACATTGAGACTATTTTGTTGACAGAATAATTAATCTAGATATTGCATAACAAACTCTGTTGGTTATATTGATAGAATTAGATTGCGTATGTTATGAGAGTTTCTAGTTGATTAACAAAAGTCGTGGTAGCAGTTTATTATATAGCCGTATTTAGAATATATCAAAGTTAAAAGTGTTTCATAACAATGTAGGTAAAGTTAATAGTAATCAATAAGTAATCAATTGAGAAGCAAAAGGTTAGCGTGGTATGGACATGTTATG